TGGTGGGCTCGTCCCGAACGGCGGGGGGCCTGGGGCCGAGCGACGGCCAGACAGATCCGACGCATGCTTGGCCTGGAGGGCACCCTTTCCTCCCCGGCCCCCGTTTGAAGCGGTTTCAGGTACGCTTGTGTGGGCGTGTCTCCCAAGCGTGAAAGGCGGCGTGGGGCCGTTTCGAAGTCCGGGCTTTGGGAAAGGAGAGCGGTGCCCTCTGCCAGGATGCCCGAGCCTGCGCCCTTGGCCGTCCCTCCCGGACCCCACACTCCTGGCTGCCGCCCCCAGCCCTGCACCCGTGGTTTCCTCTGCACCCTTGCATCCTTGCCATCCCTCCCGGCTCCCACGCTCCTGGCCACTCCCCCACGGCACTGCAGCCAGTCAGCCCACCCACTCAGCTCTGCACCCCTGGTCAGCCCCCCCAGCCCTGAACCCTTGGCCATCCCTCCCGGACCCCACACTTCCGGCCACACCCCCTGTAGGGGTGCACTCTTGATCATTCCTCCTGGGCCCTGCCTCCCGGTAACTCCTTGGACCCTTGGCCATCCCTCCCGGAGCCCACACTCCTGGCCACCCTCCCCCCACCCTGCATGCCGGTCAGCACACCTATCCAGCCCTGCACCCCTGGTCATTGCACCCCAGCCTTGCACCCTTGGTCATCCCCCCCAGGCCCTGCACCCTGGTCACTCCTCCATCCCTCATCCTTGGTCATGTCCCCAGCCCCTGGCTCTGCACCCAGGTCACCCCTCCGAGTTCTGGAGGCCCACCATACTCACTCTTGATCCTCATTTCTGTGTCTCTCACCAGGTTCTTGACTCAGTGATGCAGAGTGGACGGGAGCCACAGCCTGGCCTCTCAGTGCAGCCTGACACTAGCTGGTGCCCAGAGGAGACCCCTTCCCTCCTGTGGGGCCTGGATCCTGTGTTTCTAGCCTTTGCAAAGCTCTATGTGAGGGACATCCTGGACCTGAAGGAGTCCTGCCAGGTGCCAGGTATGTGCCACAGCACCTGTTCCCCATGGCTGCAGGAAGCTCATTTTGCAAGGTAGAAGCAGTCTGAGTCTTTTTTTTTTTTTGAGTTGGAGTCTCTGTCGCCCAGGCTGGAGTGTGGAGGCATGCTGCTGGACTCAGGTGATCCTTCCACCTCAACTTTCCAAGTAGCTGGAACTACAGGCACATGCCACCACACCTGGCTACTTTTTAAAAAATTTATTGTAGAACTGAGGCCTTGCCAAGTTGCCCCAGCTGGTCTCGAACCCGTGAGCTCAGGCAGTCCTCTCACCCTGGCCTTCCAAAGTGCTGCGATTATAGGCGTGAGCCATTGGAGCCTTTTTTAAGATAGATGTTTGGCCACGGAACATTTTCACCCGCTCTTGAAGTCCTTCATATTTTAAAATGCTCATTTTTCTTTGGACCTGCTCTTGGTAAAAGCAAGTGTGGCTAGGCCTGGCCTTTTGGGAAGTTGTGCCACTGCCCTGGCCTGGGTGGGTAACTCACTTTCTCTAACGCTTAGGTTTCTTCTTAGTAAAAATGGGGCTTAGTTGTGTCTGATCCTTCCTTCCTTCCCTCCTCCTTTTCTCCTTTTCCTTTAGGTTTTTTTTGTTGTTGTTTAATTAGAGACAAGATCTCGCTGTGTTGCCCAGGCTGGTCTTGAGCTTCCCAAAGTGCTGGGATTACAGGTGTGAGCCACCATTCCCATCCCTTGCCTGGTTTTCTTGTGGGAGTTTGTTTTGTTTTGAGTTCATCAGAATAAACTCAGTGAAAGGAAGAGCATATCTGTCTTCTTCACCCAAGGAATCCCAGGGTGCCTGGCATGCTGTAGGCCCTCAAGTCAACAAAGCATTATAAATGAAAGTTTTTTTTGTTTGTTTGTCTTGGGTTTTATTTTTTGATGGGCAGGAGGGAAGGAGGGACAGAGAGTGAGAGACATGGGGAGAGGGACAGAGTGGGAGGAGGGGGGAGAGAGAAAGGAAGTGAGGGTGGCAGGGGAGAAAAGAGCGGGGGGGGGGGGGGGGG